TCTTTCTTTCTTTCTTTCTTTCTTTCTTTCTTTCTTTCTTTCTTTCTGTGTGTGTCTCTCTCTCTCTCTGTCTGTCTGTCTGTCTGTCTGTCTCTGTTTGTCTCTGTCTGTCTCTGTCTGTCTCTGTCTGTCTCTGTCTGTGTCTGTCTGTGTCTGTCTCTCTGTCTCTCTCTGTCTCTGTCTGTCTCTGTCTCTGTCTCTGTCACTGTCTGTCTCTGTCTGGCTCTGTCTGTCTCTGTCTGTGCCTGTCTCTGTCTCTCTCTCTCTCTGTCTGTCTCTGTCTGTGTCTGTCTCTGTCTGTCTCTGTCTCTGTCCGCGAGCCACAGAGCCCAGCCACAGAGCCCACGCAGCCCCGCAGAGTTGACAGAGTTCAGGGGCGCGGCCAAGAGAAGGACAGCAGGGGGGCAAGGCCTGGACACAGAGCCCGGCGCGCCAAGAGGACAAGAGGAGGACAAGAGGAGGACAGGGCCTGGGACAAGAGGAGGACAAGGCCCAGCCACAGAGCCCAGCCACAGAGTCGACAGAGTTCAGGGGCGCGGCCAAGAGGAGGACAAGAGGAGGACAAGGCCCAGCCACAGAGCCCAGCCACAGAGCGGAGCCACAGAGTTCAGGGGTGCGGCCAAGAGGAGGACAAGAGCCCAGCCACAGAGTTGACAGAGTTCAGCGGCCAACAGGAGGAGCCCAGCCAGAGCCCAGCCACAGAGTTGACAGAGTTCAGACAGAGTTCAGGGGCACGGCCAAGAGGAGGACAAGGCCCAGCCACAGAGTTGACAGAGTTCAGGGGTGCGGCCAAGAGGAGGACAAGAGGAGGACAAGGCCCAGCCACAGAGCCCAGCCACAGAGCGGAGCCACAGAGTTCAGGGGCGCGGCCAAAAGGAGGACAAGGCCCAGCCACAGAGTTGACAGAGTTCAGGGGTTCAGGGGCGCGGCCAAGAGGAGGACAAAAGGAGGACAAGGCCCAGCCACGGAGCCCAGCCACAGAGCGCAGCCACAGAGTTGACAGAGTTCAGGGGCGCGGCCAAGAGGAGGACAAGGCCCAGCCACAGAGCCCAGCCACAGAGCCCAGCCACACAGCTCAGCCACAGAGTTCAGGGGCGCGGCCAGTGAGTGTGGCCAGCTCTTTTCTTTCTAAGATAGAACCCCAACAGTGAACTGTTTGGGGAAAAACCTTCTTTCGCAAAAACTGCTTCCGAAAAAAGAATCGAGTGCGCTGATTTATACTGGCGCGTCTTCGTTCACCACACTCCCCTCCCCCACATGCACACGCCACCGCTTGTCGCAGGACGCCCACGGTCCGGTCGGCACCTCGGTTCGCCCATCCACGTCTTGCACGCCCACGGTGGCTTTGGCCGCGATCAAGGTGGTTGCCACCTGAGAAGCCGAGCCCGGGAGCGTTTTTGGCTTTTTTGGAGCGGCAGCCCGGGAACGAGAGGTGAACACGAGAGTGTAGGGAATGGGGACGCTCCGGGACGCTCCGGGACGCTCTGGGACGGTAGGTCTTTTAGGTGCTCTTCCAGTCTTTGAGGTCGATCATTCCTGCACCAAGAGAAATCCCGTTTCAATCCAGTTGACAAACCGAGAGCAAGACTCCTATTTTTCGCCTCCTCTGTGGTGGGTGTCCAGACTTCGCTGGTCACCCAAACCCAGCCCCCATCCCATGGTAGAAGGGTGCTGTTGAAGAAAGATTTCAGCGGAAAACCATCATTGTGGAAGGGTGGCCCCTATGAAGCCAGGGTTGCATCGTGAACTTGCTGTTGTGGGTCCTTCAAGAGCGGAGGGAGCAAACAATGCACTGTATATAATTTGTTTAAGATATTTTTTCACAAAAAGGTCGCAGTTCGAGGTGGTATGGCAGGCTGAAGTGACCGACCAAAATCTTCTAGACCACGAATCTGTCATCAGGTCAAAAGTCCAAAGTGTATGTATTCATGAAAAATCTGAAAACTGTGTTTCTCGCTTTTCAGCTTCCATGCTTCATAAAGAAGGTGTCGAATCTCTCTAAAACACCTCGACCTCTGCCTTGACAATTTCTGGCCCCTCGGCCTCATCTGGAGATCCAAACTTGGCTACAGCTCAAGCAAGAGTCCGCCAAAACGCCGGTTTGGGTCGAACTCTCCTTTGAAATGCTGGTTGAACAGGGTGTCCCAGCTCTGGGTCAACCAGCCTCCCTCTTCACCGCCAGATCAGGCTCCGACCGCTGCATGACCCCCTGAGCAGGCCCAAGTCAGCGGCGTCCAGCCTCGTCTGAACATTCGGTTGCAGCCAAGTTGGTGGGTCTTCAAGACCTATTTGGTTCTTGAATGATCTTGAGATGCAGCACAGAAATCTACAGAAGCTAGTTGCCACATGTTCACTTGAAAAACGTGGTGAAAAGGTTGAAGTTGCAGTCATTTTGGAGCACATGGTGTTTCTGGAACCCCTCACAACGTCCTTGAGGTACAAAAGAAAAGAATTTCACCCCAGAAGTAAAAGTAACTGTTCGAGAGGGTTGTACCAATCCAAATGGGGTTCATCCGGCTTGAATGCTTCGTTGTGACTTAATCTTAATGGTTTGTCCATTTGCCAGTTCGTCGTAGGTATCCAGCATTACCTTTCCACGCAGTTCGTAGGCCTGTGTACAGTGTTTTCGGTTCACATGTGTTTGTATTCCTTTGTCACAGGACATTCCTTAGCTGGTTCACCCCACTTCCACCCCTCGGAATACCCGGGAAGGGAGAACGTGGGAGCGCGCGCGTTGATCTCGTGACCGCCCGCAAGTTCGTGGATCCAAATGGGGTTGTTTTACTATCAACCATCTACATTTAAGCAATGAATCCCAAAAAACTTCACCTTTCTGGGAGATTCGCTCTTGCCGTCCCCATTCGACCCAAAGACACGGCCAAGGGCTGGTTTCGGCCCCTCTGGCAATGAATGTCACTTGGCAAGAACTGAGGGTGGATGCGAGGTACCATTTACCATTATATACCCATCCCATATACCTCTTGGTTCTTTACTGGGTATCCCCTCAAACAACATCCACCAAGCGTACGGCCCGGTCTGGCCCATGGTTCCAGGCCATTCTTGTTCTTCGCATCGAGGCTCGCCTTGCGAGGGAGCAACAGCTTGGCCTTGGCGGGGACGGCGGTCGGAGCTTCAAACCGGTCGCGGTCCGGCTGCCGGCGAGTTCTTTTGGGGGTTGGAATGTGGCTAGCCAGATTGAGCAAGGGTTCGAGGTAGATGAGCACATGCAAAAGAACAGCAAGTCTCCAGCTTTTAATTGCAAAAAACATGAATGTTGGGATGCAAGGGCCAGGAACAGATTTATCCCAAGCATCCAAGGGTCCAAACGGGAGAGGATTTTGAACTTGGCGACCCGCCTTTGCGGTCACAAGTAAAATCTGTCTCAAACCCAGTGGAGACACAGCAGAAATCGATTCCCGCTCCCCGCGTGCAGTTCAGGGCATCCCAACAAACTCATTAAAGCCGCCTTTCGCCGCCAGGTGAAGTGGGGTGTTTCCCATCTTGTCCGGCACCTCATTCCATGGCCCACACGCCCACGAGACGTACTGCAATGTGTATCATCAGCACAACAGATTGAGGCTGGACGGGTTCCTCTGGCATTGGTGGATCTTGGAGGTGCCTTTTGAGGGGCCTATAAGTTTGGCAATGTGCATGCGTGTGTGTATCCCATGGAGTCGCTGGGGGGCCCAGTTGGCGTGTCACGTCGGCTTTGCCTTCTTTCAATTTTCATACATTTGTTCAGCAGGGGCACATGGCATCCATGACCTACCGTGTGCAACGAAGCTACGGTGCTGGATGGCAGGAGAAGGCTGATTTCCTGCACCTGCTTTATTTGTGAACGTTGTAACTACCTGATCGTCACCTCGTTGAGCTTGAGTTTTGGCCTTTAACTAAAG